AAGTGTATCGAACAAACGAAACCTCTGTTTTCTCGTTAGCCTCTGCAAAAGTTACAACCAATTCCAGTAAAGAGATGATAGATGTCGCTCTGATTATAAACCGCAGATATGTGAATAGAGGTTTCGGCAGAAGTGCAGAGTTTATCGACAATGACTCATGGTATTTCAGCCCATTTGTCACCACAGAGCAAAATACAGCAAGACGAATTTCACTAGTCACTGTCAAGCTTATAAAACACAAAATAAATGAGNCGTTGTGTTCAACACAAGTACACACACACACACACACATGCATACATATACTTTGATCAGCATTCCAAATTCAAAAGTGATAACAAGAACACCACTGCTGTCGGTTCGCTGTCATGCCCTTTAATGTATCCAACCAACCAACCATCACGACGAGATGTGGTTTGATGACTTGCGTGCATCCATGTACCTGGGAGTTACATAGGGTGACTTTTCACAGCCGAAGATCCAATCACGCCTGAAATGTTAATGGGTAGAGGCTCGACAAAGCTAAGTTCTATTGGATCAGCTGACTAGGCACCTGATCCCATCTGACTCTCCACTCTCACCCCTGAAAAGGTCACTTTATCAACTAAACATGGCTCCGATTAGACTTCCCAAAGAAAAACCTCTTCTTCAGTGTGAGCAACCGCGAAGTCGTGAACTAAGGTTTCAGGCGCCCATTTAGAAAATCCTCATTCTCAGTTGTTCGATTCTTCCCCTTACTCCCAAATCATACGAGGTGCCCTCTGTTTACGCCACCCATTGGATATTACCAAGGTTTTAACCAGTAGGGTCAATCAGTCAAAAGCTTTACCCTGATAAAACTAAAATATTCGTTTCACTTGGTGGCACTCAATGTTCGCACATTGTCAGATCGGTAAACAACCTGTCTTAGCTAGAACCCTTGAAACATTCAATTTAAATCCAACCTCATCCTCTGACGTTGGTGGTATTGCTCGTGCTGGGATTGCGCCAAGTGTCAAGGGTAGGCGCTCGCTTCTTTAGTGAATTCCAGTCAGTAGCCGACTGTGTGCGGTACGTCTCAACGGTTCAGTAAGGGTCAACAGCTATATAACGAAGCGTCGAATCGGTGTGTGCGCCGACCGGTTACCGTACACCTGAAACCAAAGATGAATTCAACAAGGACCTTTCTCAATTACTTCGAAATGATCGATCAACGAACGTCGTAGTAGTTGCCGGAGCCTTCAATGCTCAAATGGGATTCCTGGAGGAAGCAGAAGAGCTTTTTAGAAGAGCACATGCTATCCCAGCCAATCAAACGGACAACGTAAATCGCGTCCTTTAACTTTGCTTATCAAGCACCGCCTGACATGGAAACCGCGATGAACTCAAATTGACCACATTTCCATCAGCCACCGCTGACGGGGATCTATCTATCACTCTCGTCGGTCAACACCCGTGGGTACGGAACACGATGTTACGAGCCAGATACCCCCCCCCCCGCTGTATGTACGAGGTGCATATGGCCGAGCAAGGAAAACGTGAAATATAATCTATTGTGAATATTGTTCGGTGATATCAACTCACAGGAACAAATATCAACAGTCAAGCACAGCTCAGTTACAAGGGTCGCTATATTCAGCCTATAAGGATGGAACTTAATCGATGTCTCCGGAGGGCGATTATTTTTAACGATTAAAGAAGCACCGTTGATCATTTGCGAGCTGCCTTTGGTAATGACGCACCTTCGTGAAGCAATGCGTTCCTGTGACATATGCATGCTGCGTGGAATCCGATGCGAGTCACTAATAGCTGCAGTAGAGGTCCTTACTGAACTAGTCCAAAGGTTACCAGGTTCGGCATCGTTGAGCTGTTTCACTAAATGGTTTGAGCGCACGAAATTGTGCATGAAAGCTGGTGAAGAACGCTTGGCGAAAATGTAATGCTTACTTTTGTGTAACAAATAAAACGTTTTGTACGTTCGGAAACTTTTTGCCCAGCCCTCGTACAATATCCGGAATATCTGTAAATCGGCCTTTGAGGCAGAACTCTCTGAACGCCTTTCAACTGAACCAACCACTGAAGGACTCAAACTGAGCGTTGGTCAAAGAAGTGATCCAAATTTTAATCAAAACGATGGATCGTGGCGCACGAGCAAAACTTACTACTTTACGGCGGTTGGCTCCTGGGAGAGGATAATCCGGCACGACCGAAACACAAACGATGGATAACACCGGTCTTGGATGCCTTTCTGGACGCCTGCAGAACCATACCTCCTGATGACAAATTAGACAGTGCGCAAATCCCTTAAATGCTAGTTCATGCCATCACAACGAGACTGCACCTTGACGCGGTGTGATGGCTTGCGTGCCTCAATGACCAAGCGAGCTACACAGGATGGCTTCTCACAGCCGGAGATCCAATCATGCCTGAAGGGTAGAGGCCAGAAAAAGCTCAGTCTCATAAAGCCAGCTGCTTGGGCACCCCCTGGCTTTCTTTTCTGTCCACACCCGCCCCTGGAGAGGCCACTCCAGCAAATAAACACGGTGAGAGGCAGTTTACCGGTCGAGAAAACCCCGCTAGATGGACGTAGGAGCGGGGTACCTGGGGCTTCTTCCCGACGGTGGGAGAAGTCGTCGCACTTCATTGGACACCTACCGCCCGCCCAAGCTGGGCAGCCCCCAGCCAATAAGGTGCTGTCCCGTCCACGTTCCGCTTGTCTCATTGGGTGCATGAGGCTAAGGGCTGATCCCGAAAAGCGGACTGATAATCAACGCACCAGCCAACAACAAACTTAACCGAAATTCAAAGGCCTTGCGTGACAGATCTCCAGAAGCTCCCACACGGGTACTTTGTTCACGCTCCCGCGTTGGATTTACGCCCTACTGCCTTGCGGGTCAGACTTTTGAGTCAAAGGCTCCGGTTAGGGTTCCCAAAGAAAAACCCCTTCGTCATTGTGGACTACTGCGAAGTATGCCGCGCCCTGAAGTCTTAGGCACCAATTTGGAAAACCATCCTTCCCATCTGTCTAGTTCGTCTTCTCAACCCCGATTAATGCCAGATG